AAATAGATTCAATAGAAAGAGAATATCGTTTTATATCGGAAAGAAATATCTTTCTATTCCAATATCTATTTCTATAAGAAAAAGGACAAGTGGGAGGGGGAAAGGGGAAGGGCGTGGAGGGTTGTGGAAGGGTGAGCGAAGAAGAGAGATAATTAGATCGATTTCCTTTTCTCTCCTCTTACGTTCTCAATTTAATTGTAATTTAACGAAGTTCTCGCTCTGGAGAAAGATAACATCTAAGGAACAATTGTAACAACGGCCCTTTTGGTGAAATGGGTGAGAAAATCGATAATTCAAAGGACGCCTAAAAAGTCGCTTGCACCACCGTGGCGGCAGCAAGCAGTTACGTACAAAAGGGTCGGGTGAAAGAATAAGGGCGAGAAAAAAACGAACAAGAAAATGGAAAAAGAAGATAAAAAAAAAAAAAAAAGAAGAAAATAAAGTGAAGGAATGGGAAGGGGGGAGGGAGAGAGAGAGAGAGAGTCAAAAGGGAAAAAGGGAATAAAGGTTGGAGAAAAGGGATTGTAGTGTAGACGATAATTAAAACTGCCATCGTCGAGTCGAGGTAAAATTGACGGTAGTACCTTAAACACGTAAGTACTATAACATCTATAGTTTTTTAGTCATACAAAAAGCTCTGTTTAAAGCTTTTTAAAATATTCAACGAACACCTTTCTTTTTCTTTTTTCTTTTTTTTTCTTTCTGCTACAACGATTACTTAAGCAAATATATACATATATATTATTCATTTTAAAATATTAAATGATAAAAGCAAGTACAACAGATATATATATATATATATACGTATATGTGTGTTTGTAGGTAAATTTTTATATTAATATTAATAAATATATATATATATATTGTTTAACGTTTTAACTTAAAACCAATCCCGAGTTTGTAATACAAAATTTATCACTGTAATATTTTATTATATTCTCTTTGATGAATAAATGAAATATCAAATAATATTATATATACAAATACATAACATAAACGCGTTAATCGAAATAATTATAATCGTTAATGATTTTTTCTTATTATCATTTTTTTTTTGATATTCGATAAAGGATCGAGGATTATTCAATTATCAATTATTCAAAAATCAGGTATGAGAATTCCTACATACACACACACACACACACATATTTATTTATAATAAATGTACACGTTACAATTTAAAAACGCTTAAGTCTGCCACCTTTTGTTACATTTAAATGAAGTATACATTGTGTAAGGGGTGATGGGATGGGCGAATGGGGGGGTAGGGGTAGGGGTATGGGGACAAATAATAAAAATACTATCTTCCGCTTTTGTATTACACGATATGATACGTTTTCTCTTCTTCCTTTCCCCCCCCCCTTTCTACTTTCTTCTATTTTTTTTTGGGGGAAGGGGGTGGTTTTTTACTATTATTATTATTTTTTTTATATTTTTCCTTCTCTACTTTTTTCTCATTCCCTTTTACCTTTTCCCATTCTTTCTCGTCTCTTTAAATATGGAGTGCATGAAGGGCCACTGGAATTTTCCCTCTCTCTCTCTCTCTCTCTCTCTCTCTCTCTCTCTCTCTCTCTTTCTCTTTTTCTTTTACTTTTTCTCTCTTTCTATCGGTTTCCATAGGCGTCCTATATAAACTGAATCGATTCTATGCTACCAGTAGACACACACGTACACACATGAACGTACAAATACACAACACACACATATAGGAAAATACACGGAGGAATAACCGTCCATTCCATAACACGATATGAAAGTCTGGTAAATAAATCAAATCAACTTTCATGTAAACACGCTCGTCTCGATCTTACCAACATATTCTCTCTCTCTCTCTTTCTCTCTTTCTCTTTCTCTTTCTTCTTTTTTTCCTTTCTTTTTTTTTTTTTTAAACTCTTTTTCCAACGAGCAAAACTTTCGTCATAAGCGTATTCGATATATCCTTCTCTTCCTCTTCTACCTTCTTCTCCCTAACCCTTCCACCCTACCCACCCTCTCTCTCTCTCTCTCTCTCTCTCTCTTACTCACGTGTTATACGGATATATCCTTTATTTTATATTCCTCTTTTTCTATGATAGAAATCCTATCGTAGGGAACGCCAATGTCCGGTCATCCAGAAAGAAAAGACTTGAGAAACCGATGTACCAAAGTGAATCTTTATATGTTTTGAGTATTTATGTATTTGTCTGTCTACTGTATATATATATTATTTGTATGTGTATGAGAAGAGAGAAAGAGAATACGTTCGGATTCATATACTTTTTAACGATAAATAAAAATATCAGAGTGAGGGGTTTATTTCGATCTCGAAAAATCAGTATGAAGGATAACACATGTGTAGGATAAAATCGTGTGTCTATAAGAAGCATGTATGTGTGTGTGTGGGAGATGAGTGAGAGAGAGAGAGAGAGAAGGAAAGGGAAGAAGTGAAATAAAATGAGAGGAAGGTGAAAATAAAAAGAAAGAAAAAAGGTAACAAAGTTGTCCGTAGTACATGATTTGAAGTTTTGAATATGGTACCGATGAACGGTATCGAATTATTATCGATAGGTCGATTTGATTTTTATTCATAGTTACTTTATATATGTGTGTGTGTGTGTATATGTATACGGTGTATCTAGTCAGTATTTTATCGAACGTCAAACTAATTGCCGAAGATTTGCAACATTTTTTTTTGGGTTATATATTCAAATCAGAAAAATTCGTTGTCAATATAATTTTCTTCACGAATACACGTATAGTATACGCGTCTTATATATATATAAAATTTAATTTTATTATTATTACGTATTTTTAATGTGTTCAAATATTTTATACGAATGTTTTTTGAATAAAATTGTGACGATTGTAAAATTGACGTAGAAATTTGTGTAAAGTCAACAACTAATGAATCATAGAGAAAATTATTTTAAATTTTCAACGTGCTGAAAAATTATCTAATCGAATTTTTATATCGAATAAACAACACACGCATGCATGCATGCATGCATGCATGCATTCGTTCTATAACGATTAAAATGTATTCATTATTATTCAATCATTATTATCAAAATTAAGTTCTACTTCTTTTTTTTGATGTTCAAATTCCCTATGATACTTTCTTATTAAGTATTCATTATTATTTTGTTTATATTTCAAAACAAAACAAAAAGATAGAGAGAGAGAAACAATTAAAACGACAACAATAATTACGTAACATCTTCGCATACACAGTAAACGGGGAAATAAAATTTAATTAGAATAATTCTAATACTGAGTGGTGGTGGTGGTGGTGGTGGTAGTTGTGAAGGGGGAGTGGGGTAAACGCGTATCATCGTATAATTAATTATCTTGTATGATGGATGTATCATCGGGGTTTTAGGTTTGAATGAAAATAGAGAAACTTGAGCTTTATGTTGGAAGTGGTCGCGAGAGTGAGTGCCTTTATTTTCAATTTTCATAATAGCCGTATCGACCGGATACGGTGGTGGCACGGGACCGCCTTGAACGAAACCCATGTACGTTTAGATGAGGGGTTAGGGGGAGGGATGAAGCCTCAGGGAAGATGAAGTGGATCGGCAGGAAGGGTAGAATGAGGAAAAGCGATATAATCGGAAACAAAGAGAGGGAGAGAGTGAGTGAGTGAGTGAATGTGAATGTATGTGTATATGAGAGAGAGTGAGAGGGTGAGAGAGAGAAGGGGTAAAAGTAAAAGTGAGAGAAGGATAGAATATAGCCGGAAGATAGATATCAATCATATAGGTGGTTCGAAACTGTCGAGTACTCGTCGCCATTGCTTATATACTGATAAAGATTTCAAAATCGAACTGAATACAACCGTAACACAATATATAATGTATATATGTATATATATATATATATATATATATTCTTTCGTATCAATTAAAAAAAAATATGCAATTGATTCTGTTCATTGTCGTAGTTGTTAATGAATTAAATGAGACCAATTCATTTTCATTTCTTCATTACTTTATCTTTTTTTTTTATTTTGTTTTTGTTTTTTCTCTTTTTTGAGGGGAGAGAGGGGGGTTTGATTAATAGACTTTTCAGATTAAATGATTTTGATCGTTGCGATTAATATATCGAAACGATTCAATAATTTTGATAATTATACGCGTTCGTGTATTTTATTTATTTATTTTATTTTTTCCCTCTGTTATTTGTTTAATTAATTGAATACTTATTTTAAGAATTTTTTATTAGAATAATGCAATCGTTTTGTATTAGATATTATTTTGTTGGTATTAGTATTTTGTTTATCGGATTTTCTAATCTTATTTTATATAGATGGAAAGGGGAAATGAGGGGAGAGAGAGGGTGTGTATTCAAATATAAATCATTATAACGATACTATATTCTATTGTTAATTATTTCAAATGGTGTGTCTCTTCAATTACAGGTATTGTGTTATAGGAAAAAAAAAATAAATAAAAATTATTGAATTATTCTGCTCAAGAGATCGTTTTGATTCGTATAAAAAAAAAAACACTAAAAAATAAATCGTTTATTAATTTGACGTTAAAGTTTACGATAAAAAATATCGAACGAATTCTACTTTTACTATTTAAACATATATACAAATATATTTTCAACAAATTTTATTATATTATATATTTCGCAAAAGAAAAATATATAAAAGGGAAAAGTAGCGATTGGAATAAAACAATAACTTTTTCATTCACCCCGCAGAAATATTACTAAATGTATAAAAAAAGATACGTAAGGTGGTGGGTAGCACTATAAAAACCGATAGGATGTTCTCGTCATAGTCGTCGTTGTCCTATGGTACTCCTCTTCTTTTTTTTTTTTTTTTCTTTTTCTTCTACGGACAAGAATTCTTATTCTTTTCTTAAATCTCCCACGAGAGAGTATATTATTACAGAAATATATAGCAGGTACCTTATACGTACCTACTACTACTACTACTACTATTATTATTACTACTACGAATGAATGTATATACATACATATCTAAGATTCTCTTTTCTTCGCTCGTTTTCTAGGAAACCTTCGGCGACCCTAAGTTCTACAGTCTCATAATCGACGAAAAGAACGAAAAAGGAAAGGAGGGGAGGGGTGGAGAAAAAAGTGAGTGCCATTTTTGAATTACTTTGTTTTTTTCCACCACGTTTTTTTTTTTT